CAGAAAACTCGAAAATATTTCAGTTCTTGCCAACTGAATAGAGAGCCACTGTGAGAGGAGACTAATAGGGGCTAGCCCCCTCCTTCTGGCCCCGGCCCCTGGGCACTTTAGCGGGTCGGGCTATGCGAGCTCCAAAGTACCCTTCTGAGGGTCACACCTCCCTACTAAATTCCCCCGCCCCACAGAGCGGCAAATGCGTCAAAAAAATCAACAAATTCGTGACCCTTCAAAAATTTACAAATTCAAAGTACCCATGAAATTTCGACATACATTTCTGCCCGAAATGCCCTTTAAAAAAACGTGATTCAAATCTCGCTCGCCCAAAAATTAATTCACAACCAACATTAACCGCCCACTTGAAAACAGTAGATGAACAAACGAATGTTTCAATCAGTCTTAGCATCATGTTGGCGCTGCCAGCGTTCGAGGAACTCCTTCCGAGCATCTCTAGTGTTATCTCGTCGCTCGTCACCTCGTCGTATCGACGACAGCCTTCTGGCGTACATCTTCGCAACGACCAAGAACAGCCCCAATACTGCTAACACGATGACTTTCAAGTATTTCAAAACCCACTCGTAGATAGCCTCTTCATATCGATTCTCAGACTTCCATACGACCTCACTGGTCCGATGGTTCGGGTTGGGCACACCATCAAAACATTCGCTTTCCTCCTCCTCCTCCGTTATTTGCCCAAGGCCAGACCGTTCGCACAGTTCGGCAGAGTCAGCTACTATCTCGTCCAGACGGGCACATATCAAGCTTGATTTCGGGTCGCATAGGTCCAGTTGGTTTCCACTGCCAACAACTGCGAAAAAATCCCCTCGGCAGGAATCGAACCAGGAGTCGCAGAAAGACCCGCAAATCGATGGCAGTTTAGACTGACTAGCCAGGTAACCATCACAGGGTAGGCAAGCGACCTAAGCATGGTAATTTCGTGCCGCGCGCGGTCAGAGAATACAGACCTACCTTACGGAGCATATCAGCACACTCGTAGCTCACCCCGTCTTCCCTACCCATACCTCGACCGACGAGATTGACGAAACGCGATCGTATTCGGAGGTCATCCCGTAGACCACAACACGTATTGCCTGAGGGGAACCAAGCCACGATGAGGGAAAGGAGTGGTATGGACCACTTGGCGGTATTTCTATACAGTGCATAGACGATGATTTACATCCATAGGTTAAATGATATCGGCCGCGTAGGAGGATCAAACCACGATGACAAAAAGGAGTGGTATAGACCATTAATTTCTCTACAGTGTACAGACGAATCGTCCACGAGTTAAATGATAGGAGCCTCGGGAGAGGGTCGAGCCACGACTAGTCCAAGGTGTGGTATTATCCACCACTACCCTCACAGCGTGATAGACCTTCCGTGGCCATCCAGACCGTCACTAACTTCTTACCACTATATTCCGCACAGAAGCTCAGAGGCTCCGATGACTTCGATCGGTCCACAGATATTGCAGGAAAATCCATCAAGCCGTACCTCGCCGCTGCGATCGAGCAGTTGCCTGCCTCTACTACTACTGAGGTGACAACCGACGCCGCCACCACCAGAGAACATCTCATGGGCCTCATGGAAAAAGACTACTACTGTGTTGGAGAATACGATTCATCACTGTGGTCGACAACAGTACTGGTTTGGTCCGCTGACATTTTTGCGGAAATTTACAGAAAATTCATAGTAGAAAAATAACAAGCGACAACTCCTCGGTCGTATTGGCATATATTCTCACTCAAGATGAGTGTCGAATGAACGAAGAGTCTAATAGAGTCAATGGTGAGTGCCAAGCGATATACGGCAATGATGTAGCGGAAGTGTGGTATGACATAATCCTCCGTATTTAATTGACTCAAACCTCAGCGGAGATCTAGATAGCGGAGCGAAGCAAAAAATACTTCCACATCGGAATCGTGAAGGCCGGTCACCAGAATGGACCCTGCTGAACCTGCTTAGTCCTAACGTATTAAATATCTCTCATTTTTTTCATAGTCAAAATCCGCACTCACTAAATGCGATACAATGGAGTTAACAACCTGGTAATCAACCAAACATAGAATAACCCCTTTCTCGAGGATTCAAAATTCTGGCCGCCAACGCGTGTGAATTTTCCATTAAAGCTAGCTCAATGCAACAGAGGGGAACGCATGGCGAGGAACATGAACAAGAGTATAACTAAGCAGAGAAAATAACATTTTCGAAATACAAGAAATATCAACAGTGCTAGGGTTGAACACAGAGCCATCTAGAGTGGCCGTGTGGTTACGGGAACTGATAGTTGTTGAACGGAAGTCGCCACCACCACCGAGTGTGACATAACCAGACATTGTAGGGATAATACAACGCGATCGCAGGAAATCGCAGAAAAATTAAAAAAGATTGAATCGAAAAAAAACGGAAAATTTACCGGTCTATGGGACTAATTCCTACGGGAATTGTAGCCCTAGAGGTAACTTCTGTCCAGCTCATTGTTGTGAGCATCCACTGAGGCCAGTCTAGTAGGTTGAACGCTGTTTAACCGAGTGTATGTTATAGCTGATGACAGCCTGTCATCAAACTGATCGATCTTACTGCATTTAACAACTACTGGGAGCCCTGTAGCAAGGACACTGAACCCAACGATGACTAGTGGCCTTTGACAGAAACTCATAACGCATGGAGGCTAGTGCATACCACTACCGAAGACGGTTATTCCGGGTGTAGTGGTAACACTGGAATATCTTCTGACTACGCCAGCTGGGATGCTTCTTGAATTGCTTGCCTAACAGGGGGTAGACAGTAGTAGTATACGACGACCTCATTACCAGATATGTAAGGTAGAAGGTACTCCGGGAACTGCAGCGACCGTGGTGGCGGTTTGGTCAATTTTTGATGAAAAAATAGTAAAATGCATAGCACCTTCAAGAACTGCCTACCTGCTTATGCGTAGGGTTGGCTATACAGTCCACTGCCAGGATAGGTATAGAATATGCACATAGTCAACCACATGTGTTTGTGATGACAATATCAAAACTTTGGGAGGGAATTTTGTTACTTATCAACCTCTGGTGTTTCGTATATAAACTCCTAGGAGTAGTGAGGTAACTTTTGAGCTCAGCTGAGGGAAGCGAACACATTTTGCAGCACTGCGTTCGAAACTCGTAGACCTAGGGTCTTCATTATCAATCTCAACATTAAGCCTTGAAAATAGAGACAACACGAGTGGGAGTAGATAGGCTGAAAACAATATCATCACATACACTACATTGAAGACCTGAACCAGACTCACACACAGCTTGTAGGATACTGTGCAATAGGGAAGATTGTGGAGGATGATGAGTAGAGGAGTGAAGGTCCATTTAGGAACCCACTCGTCACACTTTCAAAAGTCCTCCTACGTTAGTACCATAATACTCTAGACATTAAGCTCCTCCAAAATAGATATACACCAACAACACATTCGAAGAGTCAGAGCTGTGACCTGGATTTGGCATGATGATAAGGTGAACGGGCAGCGTGCAACAATCAGACATCGGATCCGTTACTTCTGCGAAATTAAATATACGATCAGCGAAATCGATTTCCGCCATTCGCCGAAATTGAACTTACTTCAGACATGCCGGGGAAATTGATTGTACTAATGACACGTATCGTCGAAATTGATTTTTCTATCGAGCGCGCTGGCGAAATTGATCTTACTAAACGCGAAATAGGCCTCTAAAAGCTGTAACGCTATTTTTCCGCTTGGAAACTTCCATATTCTTCCTAGTGGTGATCATAGCGCTCATCAAGCCTGTTATAAAACATAATGAAATGATTGCATCGACAAGTGCATCTGATCAGAAAAAAACCACCCATACAGAGTGTAGGGTTGTGGACTTCAAAAATGTACGTCACATACAAGAGGAAGACCCATGTGCTTAGAGTTATAATACCTAATAAAATGTTAACCTAGTATGATGTTTGCAATGTCGACTGTCCTATCTCGCCACTAAGTGATTTCACCGACGATTATGCATGAGTATTTTTTTCCGGGAAAGCGCGTTTTAACACGCGTAAAATCGACAACTCACATTAGCGGGAAGTCTCTTCGAGTTCTTCCAGTCTGCATATAGACCTAAACCCGTGGTCGTATTGCATTGCACATTACAGCGACCGTTTAGCAGTACCTGTTGTTCCATAGTATCGTTATGTCCGACGAGGAGAAGTTATCCAACCTCGAGGAGAGCAATGTGGACGCCAAGACTCTTGCCAATAGGAAAAAGAGGGAGAAGAAGAAGGCTAAGGCCGCCGCTCAGAAGAGTGATAAAGTAGTAATTTCTATGCAGTGCTGGTTGGGTTTATCGTGCCATAGGAGGGTGGTAAGAAGATGAGCGCTGCGGCTAAGTTGGCAGCAGCGCGGCTCGAAGCCGCTCGAGAGGCCGAGGAGGAACGGAAACGTCTTGAGGAGGAGGCCCAGAGGAAGGCCGAGGAAGAGGGTAATGCTCTAGGGGGGATGTGATGTGGCGGTGGAGTGGTATGGTTTGCAGAACGACTCGCGGCTGAGAAGGCCCGAAAGGCACAGGAGGAGAAAGAGCGAAAAGCTGCTGAGAAGAAGGCGCGACGAGAGAGGCTCAGAGCTGAGGGAAAGCTGCTATCGAAGAGGGAGAAGGAACAGAAGGCCAAGGCGGACGCGTAGGGGCTATGGTAAATCAGTGGAGTGTATTGTCAGTGTAGGTATCGGCAAATGCTTATTGAGAGCGGCGCTGTTGCGGCGGCGGCGAGCTCTGATGAGGGCAGTGGTGACAAGCCGAAGAAACAGAGCGATTTGTATGGGAAGAAGAAAAGTCATAAACACAAGAAACAACCAAGTCGAGTGGAGGAGAGCGTTGCCTCTTCTACTCCTGATGACGAGGATGTGGACGATTGGGAAAAGAGGGCTGAGGACGTCACTGATGCCGACAAGAAGAGCGAATCGGCTGAGGTGGGCTTGGGGGGAAATTGGTCCGGGTGTCTGTGAGGGTTTTGGGGGTAGTCGGTGGACGATTGGGAGCTCCTGGATGAGGACTCTGATGATGAGAAGGTCGAAGCTTATCCAACTCATATTAAGAACAAGCCTCAGAAGAAGCAGGAAGAGGAGGTAGATGTTAAAGGTAGGAAGGGGTGATTATATGGTATAATGGATGAGGTGCTTGTTTGATAAGCCTATCGTCTTAATATCACCGAGGTTCGATTCCCGGGTACTGTATCTGATTGATGATTGCAGGCAAATTCGCAGCAGCTGATCCTCTCGCCGTCTTCGACTCCTCCGCCTCGGAGTTCCGTTCTCCCATCTGTTGTATTATGGGCCATGTTGATACTGGTAAAACCAAGCTTCTGGATAAAATACGTCGGACCACCGTACAAGAGGGTGAGTACTCCTCCACCACCACTACTCGAGTGATACTGCTCGCCTTTACCATTAGGTGAAGCTGGTGGCATTACTCAGCAGATTGGCGCGACCTTTTTCCCGGAGGCCAGTTTGCAGGATGCTGTCCATAAGGTCAATTTGACCAGTCGTGGCGCTAATGTTGATCTCAAAGTAGTGATGACTTCCTCTCGAAACTGTTCTAATCCTACTCTGTCCTTAGCTTCCCGGTCTGCTGATCATCGATACACCCGGTCATGAGTCCTTCAACAACCTTCGTGTTCGCGGCAGCTCCTTATGCGATATCGCTATCTTGGTCATCGATATCATGCACGGTCTGGAGCCTCAGACTATAGAGAGTCTGGAGCTGTTGCGGAATAGGAAGTGCCCTTTCATAATCGCGCTTAACAAGATCGATAGGTAGATAACACTTTTCATAGGGGGGAAATTAGACTATATGGAACTTGTTTCCATGAAATCACTCATAATAGTAATAGTAGAATTCATATATGAATATGTTTATATCGTTTGAGCCTGATTTTCGGTAGCTATAGCCTAACGGTGAACCTTTTTTCGATGGTGTTTGCGAAGAAGAAGGCAACAAGAAGCGTTGTACAGTAATAGCAATGGTATCAGGTTATACCAGTGGAGATCGTCGGCGAATCGGCCCTCTCGAGACAGTCTGAAGGCTCAGAAGGACTATGTCAAACATGAGTTCGATGATCGTCTCAAACGTATACAACTGCAGCTATCCGAGCGAGGCCTCAACACTGCGGTGTACTGGGAGAACCACGACATCCGTCGAGACGTTAGTATTGTCCCGACCTCGGCAGTCACTGGTGAAGGTGTTCCGGATCTCCTCTACCTTATTGTTAAACTTACGCAAACTTTGATGGCCAAGAAAATTACTAAGCAACCGAGTCTATTCCAGTGTACTGTGCTGGAGGTGAAGAACATTGAGGGTTTGGGTACTACCATTGACGTCATCCTGGTCAATGGACAGATTAAGGATACGGATCAGATCTGTGTGTGTACTCTAGCTGGGCCTGTCATTACTACGATAAGGGCTCTACTCACGCCTCCACCAGCTAAGGAGATCCGAGTGAAATCCGAATATGTTCATCATAAAGTCATCAATGGTAAGCTGTCTTGAGACGACTGCACCTTAGCGAGTTTTCTCAGGTTCGATGGGTGTAAAGATATGCGCTCCTGGTCTCGAGGAGGCTGTTGCTGGCACACAGCTGATTGTGATGCGGCCTGGTGATGATGCTGAGGAGGTTAAGAGGAGGGCTATGGCGGACTACAAGGCTGTAGTGAATGAGTTCAAGAAGGCCCCTGAGGGCGTGTATGTGAAGGCCTCTACTTTGGGTTCTCTCGAGGCCCTTTTGGATTTCCTCAAGACTAGTTCTATTCCTGTGAATCAAGTAGGCATCGGTGAGGTCCACCTTATGGACGTCCGAAAGGCGTCAATTATGCTAGAGAAAAAGAAGGAGTATGCGGTGATACTAGCCTTCGATGTGAAGGTGTCACCAGAGGCCAGGGACGAGGCAGAGAAGCTGGGTGTTAAGATAATGACCGCTGAGATCATTTACCATCTTTTCGACCAATTCACTGCCTATATGAACCAAATAAAGGAGGAGAAACGTCAGCAAGTTCAGGAAGATGCGGTTTTCCCAGTGGTAGGATTCATACCATATTTCCGCCACATCGTATGCACTTCTCAGGTCCTCAATATCATACCACAGTATGTCTTCAACAAGAAGGACCCTATCGTGGTTGGTGTGGACATCTCTGAGGGCACTCTACGACTGAACACACCTCTGTGCGTGCCCGATAAGGAGTTCTTGGAAATTGGTCGAGTCGCTAGCATTGAAAAGGACCATCGGCCCGTTGAAAAGGCCATCAAGGGCGACAGTGTCGCCATAAAGATTCAACCGACGTCGGCCCAGGCCCATGTCACTTATGGTCGCCACTTCGACTCTACCAATGCCCTCATGTCTCGCATCAATCGCAGGACCATCGACTGCTTGAAGGAGAACTTCAGGGAGGATATGCGGAAAGAAGATTGGCAGCTAATAATGAGGATGAAGCCGATTTTTGGTATCCAATAGAAAAATCTGGCATCCTGTAAAACGTCATTGATGCTTCTCCTGGCCGTTTCGAAGGTTTAAGCCGTGTTTGTTTTCGTTGACAAAAGGTGATTATTCGTAGTTGCTGAGGAGAAATGGGCATCCAGAAACGTCGTAAGAAGAACGCGAATAACACAAGGGGAGGTATAGTAAAGGCTAAGAGGCATACCAGGGACATTGATCAGGTTGGGGTATGTTCGAGTTCGGCCAATTTTACGCTTTTTCTATCAGATTCACGACGACTTGAAGGCCCCGGAGAAGTTCACCAGCATGCCGGTCGATGAGGACCTGCCAGGCCGAGGACAGCACTACTGCGTCTCGTGTGCCAAGTGACGATCCTCATGGAGTGCCAAGACCTGAGCCCACTTGCCTTAGGTACTTCATCAATGATATTGCACTCGTGGCCCACTTCAAGACGGTCAAGCACCGCCGGAGGCTCAAACAGGCCCTTGATGGTAATGTCGGGGACGGAATTCGGCTTACTCCTATTACTACTACTACTAATACTACTACCACCACCACTACTAGGCTACTTAGAATTACTACTACTGTTTTTTAGAGCCGCATACTCAGGAAGCTGCTGAAGCTGCAGTGGGCTACGGCCGTGTCTGATTTGTACAATATCTCAACGTTTCTTCTCTCTCTATTGAGGTTGCTTTGGGTTGGTCAAATTCGGGGGGAGGACACTCAGCGGTTATTCGGATGAATTCAATGAGGATTTGCAGGGCTTTCGAGTCTTGACCGAGACCGCTCGGGCTGGCCTAACTTTTCCGCCCCCTATCAGAGGGACAGTCGAGGCTCGTTGTAGATACAAGTCGACTTGTATCTATTCGAGAGCAACTGCGGACATCATCAGGATGATACGCGATTCCAAGCAATATGGGATGCCCATTCGGAACTGGCATGAAGAGTACATCTATTTGGTGTATAGGCATGGTCCTCGAGGAATGACCACAGTTTTCTCACCTCTACCTGCTCTTCAAAAACCATGACATTTCCAATACCAACTCGAATGATGTTTCAAATGGATGAACGGGCCACAGCTTAGTCCCTTTACCGTATGCTCGCCACTCGTGGTCCTCGAGCCGGCCAGGCAGTCCGCTGCGGTCAAGCGGTCCAGCAGGTACCCGCTGCCGCTGCCGCCGAAATAAGGCTTCAACCGGTGTCCTTTCCTCCGCTGTTTGCCATTCTGGAGGAAGCAGCTAAACAAGTGCCTTCAAGGAAGAGGTATCGCAGACCGGCTCGGCTGGGCAGGGGTCTGTTGCGATGGTGTCACCACCGCAGTGTCACCACTGACAGTCCTAGAGCTGTATTGACCGTTACTGGTCGATCTAAGGCCCTGCATGAGCCCAGTTCTAGACTTCAAAGGAGCCGAATGTGAGCCGAGCCACACGCTGGTTCATCATGTGGAGCATGGGACAGATACAACTCCTCGAAGTCGCCTTATAATTGTCAAGGAAGTTTGGACAGTTCCATGGCGCCGCGTGCTGATCGTCGTGCCTCAATGTTACGGGCAGAAGAAGCATATATAGAGGATATACTGTATGGATATGGGGACGAGAGCTGGCTGGATGGTGACGAGGACGAGGATATGCTTACTGATGAGGAGGTCGAAGATGCTGAACTAGTATGGTCCTGACTGTCATAGATAGGAAAAACGAGCGAAAAATCTATTTCTAATTACCCTAAAAAGCGCATCGTTTGTCGTGTCTCCCGCCCTGGTCCTATTGGGCATCGATTGGTCTCTTAGGAATGTGGGTTGACGACTCGTGAGCTCATGGACATCCTTTCGAGGGACATCACTACGGACGATTATGATACGTTGTTGAAATTGGACGATCGGGTGCCACCAAAGACGGCCAAAGCAGAAGTCAGCAGCCCACCAAGCTTTGCCGCTACCGTAACGTCCACTCTTTACAGTTCATCTCCAATTTGAGAGTCCTATCGCTAGCCGAGGTCATGGCCTTGGTCGCTGCCTCTGGTCCTCCTGAGCAGTGTGGGGTAGGCCCGTTGTATCCGACCTTGGGCTCGTCTCCATTCAGGTATGCCTCTGCCCACTCTTGGAAGCAGTTGATGTAGACCCGCGGCCTCAAAATGGATCTTCCTCCTCATCCTCGTCCACAGCGGCCGAAATCATACAGTTGCCCAGATGCGGCCACATCTTCCACGCGAAGTGTGCGAGGGAATGGCTGGGCAAGTTCGGTCGGACATGTCCGATCGATCGGGTCGAGGTGGAGGACAGTGAAGATTTCTGAGGAAGCTCGCCTTGCATGATGGTCACTCATGCTATTTATCAACAACTTGCTGTGCTCATTCAGTGTTGTCGAACTGTTCCGTTGAGTGCAAAATACTGGGACAATCCTTTCCCGCTCGGACATACGGACTAGAGGATGGTCCATGGTAGAGAAGGTGGAAAGGTAATTCCACGAATTTGCAGATCAGGGCCCCAAGCACATAAGGTCGCATCATCCAGGACTCATTGAGTAATATAACACGTGATAGGAAGGAGCGGACAAGTAGGTGAACAGCAACATGATAAACATACATCTCATGTGTGGATGGAGTTCGTTGGTCAATCTTGAAAGTCTGGCATTGGTATTAGTGGTAAGGATCCACCACTACTGGTCCGGCCAACCGTGGCGACCACTGTATCGGAGGGATACCAATAAGTTTGCGTGGCCCATCCGGGATAATCATCCAGAACTGCGGAAGGCAAGAATGGATGATGCTCCTCTTGAAGTCGCTGTACTCACATTGTGAGTCGAAGCCCGCCTCCTCAGCCGCCGCTAACTCCCCGTCGTTAGTAGTGCCCATCGTTATGGACACTGATTCCACTTGTGGCCGTACACTGTGAACCTGTATGCAGATGTGACACCATCTACGATGAAGTGGAGGAGTGGTATCAGCGGCATAGACTAGTCAGTATCCGCTTACGTAAACCAATAGTCTCTTGAGCAAACGACCACCGACCGCCGAGCCCTTCCAGTCCTCCTTGACACAGAAATAAGGCAAATACACCCAATTCTGCTCGGGCACGTCGACAAGGCCGAATTCAACAGATGCGACGACGCTCTGAGGGAGAGGCCACTAAGGGGAAGCCCAACCGTCAACGCCTACGTTCCCTCTCGGCTCAACAGCTACGTATAGTCCAGCCTTGGGTTGAACCCTATCACATAGAGGGACATCCGATGGCTTGGCCAGGCGATACTCGAGTTGGTCCAGTGAGAGGCCTTCCTTATAGCTGGTCAAGCCGTGGACCACCAAAGGCGCCATCAGAATGGACATCATGTAGATCGGACGAATCAGCATAGGGATGGATACAAAGGCTGCTACTGAGGAGTGGAAGGGGCATAGATCTTCATATGGTCGTACTACGACTGCACCACCTAAGGTAAGTAGATCCATGGTAAAATGAACCTACCCAACCCTGGGTTGGGTAGGTTCATTTTACCATTGGGCCAATCATCGAACACCCATCCACCCGGTGTTGGTCCATGAACCAAACATCAGGAGGAGGAGGTGGCAGTAGTAAACTCGATTCGGTGGTGAGTCGACCACGCGTTTCTAAGCCTCCCTCTGGGGCTTACCCGCATGCCGGGGCATGATCCTTGTGTGGTCTTTCCGAGGTTTACAACGATGACCTCCGGGGTCTCCTTATTGATCTTAGCAGTGGGATCGATCGTGGATGCCGAGGCGATACCATAACCACTATCGAGTGTAGCGACCCCAACCAGCTGCCCAAGGATGAATCGACTATCGTAACACACTGTGTCCACAAGGTCTAGGTTATCTTTATCCTGGGCTACCATCGACTGCCATGAGCGGAGTTGGATTCATCATGAGCCTCCCCTTAGGCCGATGGGTCCACCTCATTCTAATAAACCGCCCATTGGCAGTAACTATGAGGATCACCAGAGAGCTGTTGGCCTTGCCGACGACGATAAGACAATCATCGACGAAACTAGACAATAACGGGTTACTGTTGTTTGGAGATTGGAGGGAACCCTCCCCGGCAGGATGGCCAAAAACGGACAATATTTGGTGAATCTTTCTTCTTAGAGAGACTTCCTGCTAATCATTGACGTCCCTTGGCAGGCTGCCGCTTCCTAGGGTCGTATAAACGTAAGACCTCATCAGTATCACCAGTAGCTGGCGGGCCTCGGTGGGAATCCCTTGCCAGCATAGCACACACTTCGACCGTACCCAGATGAGAGGCCACTACTACTACTACTACTTACTGAAGTTGCTCGATGGAATTGAGGCATGTGCGCCACGAAATTACTCGCCCGCCCAGAAATGCCTGGAACTGAAAGAAAAGTAAATGCCGGACCTGGGAATAGAACCTGCGCGGATTAGAGGAGCTAAATAGTCGTTGCCTTCCCCTACCCAGGAAAGCAAGTAATACGAGATTATTGAGGTTGCTTTTCATTCCTAATGGCGACCACAGCCGACAAGCCGGCAACAGCAGGGCTCACTGGAGGGACTCTAGCCGAGTCCTTTAGAGTCTCCCGTACCATATCCAGCTTTTACACCGGTGGCCGTATTCTTCACGGTGTGGGCTCGGGCAAGATCTATGCCCTCTGTTCGGAAGGGGTAGTACTGGGTGATAGGGGGGTATTGAGGGCCACTGCTAGGTACGTGTAGTGGACCCGGCCAGCGGAGAAGTTGAATGCGAAATTGAAGTGGAAAATGATGGTATCACCACATTTGCTGTCTATGACACCAAGGACGCCGCCCTACGTCGGGCCGAGGCTCAGGGTAATAGTCGTCCGAGTATCACGGACATACCATGCCTGGTGTTGTGATGTATACGATTGGTAATGGGTGTCCTTTAGGGTCTGGTGGGGAGGTGGTGGCTATGATAATCACAGCGGGCCGGTCCCAGCTCCTACGTCATTGGCTCATCAGGAGGACCACTTCGGACAGCAGTGGTCTCAAGCTCCAGGCCCAGTTGCTTAGGAGTTGGGCCTCCTCACAAAGTGTGGTCACCTGTATGGACTTCGACACCTCTGGAGGGCTGTTGGTCACTGGTGGCGTCGACAACAGCGTTAAGGTGTGGGATATCCCCGGCTATTTCTGTAGGGTCTGAGCCTTGGCCTCCACGGTAGTCCCGAACTCCTCTTAGGCACCCACCACTTGCGGGGCCACAACGCTCCAGTGTCACACGTACGGTTTCTCCCCAGCCAGGCCAGGCTTGCCTCGGTCAGCGAAGACTTCGAAATACGGGTTTGGGATTTGGTCCAGGCCGCCGCAGCAGCAGCAGGTGGTAGTAGTGGGAAGAAGGGTGGCCCACAGTGTCAGATGGTAGTAGGGGGGACTTGCCGTAACCGGGGATCGAACCTGCGTCAAGGTACTACGTGACCATCAATCCTCCATCACTGCACTGGAAATCGGAGGCCCACACGGAGAGGTAGACCCGAGCCGACGTCTGGACTTAACATAACATTGCATACAGACCCTCATCTCGGCGGGCAAGGACCAGATGGTCAACTTCTGGGACGTTACGGTCCACAAGGAGGAGGAGGGTCGGCGGGAGATCACTCGGAAGCCTGCTCATGTCCTACCTGTATTCGAGGCCGTCCACGCGATGTGTTTATTGCCTAACAAGCTCCTGGCCGTAGTAGGGGAGGAAGGTACTACTGGACTCCTGGGGGCGTCCACGGACGGTGGTCGTGGAAGGTACGGTGAAGCTGTGGGACCCCATACGTCGGCATACCTTTGACCAGAGCAAGGCAGCTGATGTCGGGGTCACTGGCTGCTTCATACATGTAGGCTACCTCTCTAGGATCACTGCTACTACTATCACGGGTCGATCCTCAGGCCTTTTGGGTATCATCCATAGGTGAGGAGGGCCACCTTTGTACGGTCGGGGAGGACAGGACCTTGACCATGTGGAAGGTCGACACCACTGAAGGGGATCAGCCACAGCGTTATAGTGATGCCCGACTCGAGTGGGAACGGCAGGTTATGGGCGACCTGGACGAGGTTATATCCACTAAGTGGATAGGAAAGGATAAGGTCATTGCCAGTAATAGGAGCCTTGAGCCCTTCATGCCAGCCTTGGGCCCGTCGAGGGTGATGGTCCTGTTGGCCCTCATCAGGTTTCAATGACTCCAACCCTAGAGTGGTATCGGGTCTCTCGCCCGACCCCAAGTCCCAGATCTCCACTGTGCCCTTGCCTGGTCATGAAGGGACGGTCCTGACCATCGCTGTTGGTGGTCCTGGCGGCAAGCATGCCCGAGAGGAGGACGACGCCCTTTATGCTCTTACTGGGTCTAAGGACCAGACCGCTAGGCTTTGGGACCTTAACACCAACAAGTGCCTCGCTGTCCTTAAGGGTAGGACCACCCCCTAGGGTAGTGAGGCCAGTGCCCCTTAGGTCACACTGGAGCGGTCACTGGAGTGGCCCTGAGTCGTCGGCGACCCGGCCAGGCTTTCACATGTAGTAGTCTGATTGCTAGTGGTCCTCTGTACTGTCTGTGGTAGGCTCAGAGGACAAGACCGTCAAGATGTGGGATATTGCCAACGTCCTCAGTGGAGCAGGAGGGGGACCAGTGGAGGTAGGTTGGTCCGCTATGTGGGGGGGCCTCCCGGTACCTAGTAGCAGTGTTGAGGCATACATAGTTTAGTCTACCTCACCTGAGACCACATTTTCCTAGGACTTCAAGTGGGGTGTACACAGACCAACAGGAATTACTCGAAATTCTCTGAGGGTCTCCGCGATGTTATGAACGTATTTGTTGTTGTTGGTCTTCTCTCACACTGCGTCATGGTCAGATAAGCTCAGCAGTAGCCACCGTGGTGGCCCACTTGAAGTCGGCCAATGACGTCCAGTGTGCCCCCAATGATAAGCTCATAGCCTCGGCGGGCCAGGACAAGCTGGTGGGCCCCGGCCGCCGCCGCCCTGTCGAGTTCTTGTCAACTTAGTGGTATCAGGTTAAAGTGTGGAGGGTGGGTGCTGCCGGCAGTCTACAGAAGTTGGAGTTGGCAGGGACCTGTACGGGCCATCGTCGTGGTGTATGGGCGGTCGACTTCTCCCCAGTGGATAAGGTCTTTGGTCCACATCGGCCGTGTTGGGATCATGGCTCATCCTTCTAGGTCCTGGCCTCGGCCTCGGGGGACTCCTTGGTGAAGTTGTGGAACCTAGTGGACTATACCTGTATAAGGACCTTCCAGGGCCATGAACACGCCGTCCTTAACGTGAGTCTGGTCCGTGGTCCTACATAGTAGTACTGGTGGTCCTACATTTAGGTCAGCTTTATTGGCCCTTTGGGTATGCAGTTGGTGTCGTCTGGTGGGGATGGTCTGGTCCGCCTTTGGCAAATTAGGACCAGCGAGTGCGCGGCTGTTCTGGAGGGACATGATGATAGAGTTTGGAGTATGGATGTAAGTTGACGGTCGTGGAATTCGAACCTGGGACCTTCGTCGGGATGGTTCAGGTGAATGCCTCGTCGAACTGTCTGGTGACCGGTGGTGCTGATAGCAAGCTCCTGCTATGGGAGGACTGCACCAATGAGGAGAAGGAGAAGACACAGCAAGCATCGGCTGAGGTACTACATAGTTGCCGTCACTGACTGAACTTTGGACCTCCAGGCGGCCCAGCGAGACACACGTATCCAAATGCTGTTACTACAAGGCAACCACAAAGAGGCCCTGGACCTAGCCCTGAAGCTCAGACGGCCTGGTAGGAGTCCTCATGAAGGTCTGTGTGGAGGTATACTTTCATAGGGTTGATGAAGACCGTATTGGAGGACCATGCGTGGAAGTCCCTGACGACCGCCATGGAGGGCGAGGAGGCCCCTATGGACCTGGACATTGGCTCATGGGTGGAGGGCCTCAAGGAGGAGGACCTAGAGGCTTTGGTCGATGTAGGCCTCAGGGGGGACGACTAGTCCTCTGTAGTGGTCCTGGTTAGGTGTGTGGGAGGTGGCAGACTACAGCCAGGAACTGCGACTTGGCCCACTCAGTTATGAACGAGATATTCAAACGGTTACCAGTAAGGCCCCATGTACATCCCCTCGCGGTCGATGATCGTCGTTGTTCCCTATAGGCATCTCGTCTGTACCGTATTGAGGGCATTGCGTCCTTCCTGGACTCATTCGTGGCCTATGGTGCGAAGCACCTTCGAAGGTAGTACCACCTGAGCCGCACCAGAGGGTAATGTAGTGGTTCTTGTAGGTTGGAGGCCCACACCTCCCGAGCCTTCCTGTGTGATGGTATTCTGGCCAGTGTTGGTTCTACCAACGTCTTACCAGAACTGTCTGAGCGGCGCATGATAGACATCATCACCGAGGACCCCAAGGAGCCCTCGGCTAAGCGACAGCGGCCCCAGTGAGGTGGCATCAGCCCTCACAACGTATCCTTAACGTATGTTTCTTTACCAGAAGGCTCGTCATCACTGACCAGTAGAGTTCTACGTTGTGTATTGCGTTGAAGTTGTAGCTGATACATTTCCATAACAACGTCGATCACAGGACCATTGAGTTCGAGGGTCTTGACTGCCACTGATCCGACTCAAGGAAAGTTGACAATTCATTACGACATACCTGGAATCGTTATGTTAGACGTGTGAAGAACTACTCTGGTCAAGAGGGCATCGTGTAATTAGCACTCAGCGCCGATATAACACTTTCTGAACTACTATTAGTAGTATGTTGATTATTAAAAATGGTGCTTTAATGATGTCACTGGCGAAAAATTCAAGTAAAAATTGTGAGGGCATTACGGCTTGTGTCGTTGAGGTAATTTGCAATGCTACTACAACGGACGAACGAGTCAAGTCAGTTTACGTCGTCACGAGGTACTATGACCATGCTAATTCATCGCTCGACGAATCCGTTCACTTCAATTTGACTACGACACTCAAAACACAAATTATGATCAGAAACTGTAAATGATACCAAGTCGAAAAATCAAAGAGCCGAATGCAGGAAGATTCATCCCACAAGTAAAACTTAACTATAAGGGTGTTTTCGACTCTGCGGTTTACAACGAGGGACTGTATGAAAGAAAAAAAATGATCACTTAGGATCGCAAGCTTGCAAATCTTCGATGGTCCATTGAGGAGATCACAGGTAAATATAAACGTCCGTGCCTGAAAATGACGATACATATACATTGGTATTTCACCTGTGATATCAAGAACACTAGTGAAATATATACTTCACGACTACCGCATAGCGCGAATATCGCGTTCTTCACAGCATCACTTCACGTAAAACAGGTGAAACTCCACTGTCTAGTGAAGTAGCAATAGTCTTACCGGCTCCTGGTATGCTGTTAACTTCCAAGTCACCATCAAAGTACCTGCAAGAGTACACTCATGAAGTATGTCAAATCTGATCTCCTTTCGAGCTATCACTTCATCCATGCCATATTACCAACTAAAAATTTCCCATTAACTGAGAAAAGTTCTCATATGATATTAGAATTTTCCTCAGTTATTGCGAAATTTTAAGAGATAAACTATAAGAAGAACTATGATAACTATAACTATACTTATCATACTATAACTATGATCAGCCACACAAATATACCACACAACAGATTCGCTCCAAAATACCCATACCCTAACCTCACCTGGCCATGACCGTAGAAATTGGCAGACCAAAACCAAAACCAGCCAGGGGCGCGCGCGAATCAAAATCGGGGAGTTCCTGCGTGCCGTCTGGCTTCTGACTCGCCGACGAATAAAAATACGAACTCGCCTAAAACTCGCATTCGATTATAATAACAGGAATCCACCACAACTCACCTTTTTCAAAATCTCGCGTTTCATACCGTAACCTCGATCGGCGATTTTGATGGTCCTCTCGGAATCCCACATTGAGGAGAGGTCCGGCAAGGTCACTGCTACCGGGGGCAATCTGTCAACAGGAGTATAAAAATTCACCGAAAATTTCGGAAAATTTTTACCCAGCGTTTGAGCATCGCTGATAGTCACCGCCATTATCGAACAAAGCTTTTTCAACTGAAGCTCTCACGGCATTCTGTGAAGAAAATACAATATTCAAATCGACAATTTTAGGCTCACTTTCAGAATCTCCAGAAAAATATAAAACAAGTGTTGGGCAACATAAGCGAAACTCCTCTGCGGCGGGGCTACTGTCAGTACTCCTCCAATGACATTCCGTTAACCACTAAATCTGAGATCATCTCATCATAGT